GTTCAAGGGGTATGAATACTTTTGCAAACCACTGTACATAATTAATTCATAACATTTACTAAATGTTAAATTTAAATGTTAAAAAATATATTTAAATATTAAATCCTAAATCTAAATGTAAAAGTTAAACCTTAAATGTTAAAGTTCACATTTTGGTATTTTGGAATGGAATGCAGCCTTTGCTGTTGGCGCTCGGCTCATGTTATGATGTCATCATCCTGAGACAATAGCAAAAAAAATTTTTTTTTAATTAAATCAGAGTTTTTTTTCGGTGCCTATGTTCTGCAAGTTTAAAATTTTTAATCTCTCCAGAATTTCTGATAAATAAAAAGTTGAATGAAAGCTGTTTTTAGGGTGATGGGTTTTTTTTTTTTTTAACTGGAGGAGGTTGATTTTTTTATCACTTTGTTTAAAAAGGGTCCAGATGATCACCTGTTCCTGCTGAGTGCTCCATCTTCACTAACGAGGCTTCACTTCCTCTCACCGGCCCATTACCAGACTGTTTCCCCTCGCGGCCTCCATTATGCTGGGTGACTGAAACGAACGTGATGCATCATGGAAACACCTGATCCAACGCAGAGAGGGTCCTAATACAGGCTGCGAGCTCAGTTTTTACTGAGGTCATTAGGGCTGGGGGGCAGATGGAGCCGTCCATTAGCTGCTGAAACTGGACAAAGTCAGGTTTCCATTTTTATCTGGATATTTGCGATTCAGAGACAGATCTGAAAGATGACATAATGCTCGTTAATTTAATTAAACTCTTTTTTTTTTAATCAGGAAATCTGTGATGATTTGATTTGAGATTGTGTTGGTTTCAGTTTGATCACTTATCTTATTCCCACGTCTGTTTCCTCATTATCAATAAGAGGCGAATCTGAGAGTTGGTCCGGCTCCTGCAGAGCATCTCCAGATCCTGAGAGGATGAGAGAAACCAGATGCTGTGGACGGAGGGAGCAGCAGGACAGGAAGGGAGGCTGGTGGGGGCGAGGAAAAGCAGTGTGATGGGAGTGGAGACCTGCAGAGCCTATAGGGAATCAGATTCCTCAGACTGAGAGGAAAGGAGGAGCCAGACTTCCTTTCGAGCACTCCCAGTCTTTTTAAAAAGCCTGTCCCAGGACTGCTCCCTGTGAGTCCCAGACCTCTGGACCTCCTCACTCTGAGATCTTTGTCCTGATTTCTCTGGTAAGTATCATTTCATGTCAGACTGAAATATCTCTGAGTCATCCTTGCTTTCTTTAGCTGCAGCATGGAGTGACGCTTGGCAAGGGTGTCACTAGGTTTTAATGACAAGGGGGGCTTAGCCCCCAGGAGACGCACAATATTTTTGTATATTATATATTTGTATTG